ATATCCTTCTTGTAAGCTCTAGATTGACAAGGATTCTCATCATGCACACAGCTAATGTTTGGTTCCTCATCGATTGTTACCATGCCATGCATTGAAAACTATGAAATATATATTTGATCAGACTGACAATATATATATATATATATGCTTCCCACATAGTTTGACTTGTTGTAAATATGGTTTGTACATAGGAGAAATGAGAAACAGTCATAGACTCATAGCTGATCCTTGTCTAGAATTAGTTTCAAAGATGCATATGGAATGTTTGTGATTGCTTAGGGGATAAGGGCATGGGTGGGGGGTACTTGGGGTGTGAAAGGGGGTGAAGAAATGAAACCATGACTAAAAATTTGCAAGGAATTGAATAAATGTGAGCTCCTCTTCCCATTCAGTAATCTTTCTGACATTCTTTCTGACATACAAGTAAACTAACTCTCAAGAACATAGATATTCAAATTAAGACACATAAGTCAGATGCATCGCAACATTGATTCCCTTTTTTCTTGTTTTATTATATCAATACATCATGAGTATCCTCCTTTCATTAGGAAAAAAAAAAATCATACGGTAATATCCTCATCATCGATCTCCAGTTCACATAAGTCCATTTCCTTCTGTTCTCTTCATTTACTTTTCTCCATTATTCTCTCTTCTCTCTTCATAATCCTTCCAAAACAACCAACCAACTCGGGGAATCAATGCATCTAACTATTACAAATCGTATTACAATGTGTCGATTTATTTAATCATATAGGGAATATTATCGCATCATGATTTCTAGGCGTTATCTACACATGTTTTTGTTTCTTCTTCTGGCATGCAATTAATCCCAAAAATAAAGTATATATAAAAACCTCGATCCACACATATATAATTATAAAACCGGCCCCTAGCAACCCCAATGCATGTGTTCTTAAATCCTGCATCATTCTTCAAATTGAAGTTTGATGGAAACGTGCACTGCGTCCTTCAATAAATTTGCATGGAATGTGGTTTCATAAACATTATATACCACAGGTATTAAAGTCGTACAAACAAAAAATTTCCATGAAAAGGCCTAGGCTAGGGGGGGGGGGTTGAAGATTGCTTTTAATGTGGTTTCTGTTCGTCTGTTATGTACAATCGATGCATGTGACAGAAGAGAGAGATGATCGAGAGAAATTAACTAGAGCTAGATAGCAGAGAGCATCAAAGGAAAGTGAGTCTGATTTTGCTTCGGCATCCAAGATTTACGAAGTTCTACATCCATGTAAGAGGGGTTTAAAGGGGATTGGTTGGGGTTTGTCTTGGTTAAGGATTTATGCTGAGTTGGATATAGGCACAGTGGCAGAAGTGCACATGGGAATCAAAATGTCTGTTTCCTTTGTTCCTATTTTAAGGAGGAAATATAGAATTGCGTGAGGGAATGGGAAATTATTCTGAGGCTGCATGGGTTTTCTTGAGTTTGGAGTACTTTGTTAATACCAAAATTATTGTTTAGAGAATGAGAATTTGGACAATTCAGAGAATAATTGGGTCGGTTGTTTCTTGTTTGGGACTAGTTGTTTACAATTTTTTGACAACTAAGGGTATATTTGCGTGGGATGGATAACCATCTACGAATTTTAATTTTTAATATAGGGGGGACGAATTCCATCAAAAAGAAAATATAGGGGGCACGGATTACTGGGGTAACATTATTTTGTTTAAATAAACTGGCCCAAAATACATTGAACTTCAAAGCCCATCAAGAGTTGTCCAATTGAATAGCCTATTTAACCCAGAAATTGTGTGTGATTTGAACTATACCAATAGCCAATCCATAGCCAATCACGATCCAGTCCGATGATATAAGGGCTCTACTGCATTTGTATTATTATTATTATTATTATTACTTTTAACTTTTTACTTTTAAGTGAAGGCTCTGTTGGCACCTATCTTTTCAAGTCAATTGGCACCCTATCAACTTGAGGTGCATTTCTTTTTTTTTTTATGAACGGGTTTCAAATCTGTCCGTTGGCAACTTGTTCAAAAAAAAAAAAAAAAGTGAAGGCTCTCCTGGATGACGTAAGTCTGAATCCTATTCCATTTCCAGACAGTTTCAGCCTTGACAACCTTTTTTTTTTTAAAGAAAAAAAGAAATAAAAGTTAAACTCCTTGTTCACATCAATTCAATATAAAATTTTTTAAAATCATACCAATGTACAATTTTAATGGGAGACCAAATTAAGGATGATCAATATAGAAACATATTAAAAACAAAGCTTAGCTGATTTGGTATTTACCAATTTAAAATGTGAATTAGAAGTTAAAAGTAGAGTTTTAATTATAAATTAAGTTAGAGGTACAAGAAAGTTGATCTAGAAATATCTTGATTGTAAATATAAAACAATAATAAATGGGTGTTTGTTTTGATTTTTATGAAAAAAAACCTATTAATTATTAACTCTAATCAAATGGATTAAATATTTTAAATTATAAACAACAATAATGATCAATCATTAGATATTTACTATTAGTTATCAACTATTTAGAAAAAATTAATTCAAATAGTCTATAAAAATTTTAAGAAAAAAAATACATATCAATATCGACTCTCAAAATAAATTAGAATTCTAACTTTAAACGATATCATTTTATTTAATTAAAATTCAATTTAAAATTTAAAAATTCACCTTATTAAATGATTGTTTCAATAGTTGAAAATTGATTATACTAGAATAAAAAATAATTGATACACCCTCAATTTGACATACTTTTTTTATGTTTACTTAATACAATTATTAAGATATAATATAAGTATAACTAATTCAATTTGTTCCTGCATCTTATATGTATGATTGCTTTTTTAAGTTTGTTTACCTTTAATTTCAAATAAGAAAATAATGATTTTTAATGAGTGTATTGTACAATATATTATATGGTGTACCAATGTCCTATTAAAATATAGGTTAAACCCTCAATTTAGTTCCTCAACTATTATACGGACCTTTGATTTAATCCTTAAACTAAAACAATCTCTTATTTGGTCCATATTACTTACCAATTTAACTCCAAATTTGTTTTTCTGTACAAAAACAGATGACATATCTTATTATTAACATAACATGTAACTGTTAAGTAATAGTTTTATACCGTTAAGTAATAAACACATTAGCTGATTTTTAACTGAGAGACTAACTTTGGGCCAAATGGTAAATAATATGAACAAAATCAAGGGTTCGTACAATAGTTGAGGGATCAAATTAGGAGGTTTAACCTAGAATATATAATTAATTTTCAAATCTAGCTATCAACATTTAATAAAGTAGATTTTTAAATTTTAAATAAGAATTTTAGTTTTTAAATGTAAGTTAAGACTTTTTTCTATTCAAAATTGATATGCATTATTCTCAACTTTTAACATACTAGAAAAATTAATGAAAAAAAAGTGTTATACAATCTAAATTATTGTATAGTTTAAATTATATTAAATTATACAATATTAAGAATTAAATAAGAGTTAAATTTTTTTATATTGAAAGCTTTTTTTATTTAATAATTCTTATTTTATAATTTAATACCATTAAAATTAAAATACCGGACCCTTAAAACGTATTCCCTTAATGAAAGTGGAAATTTGGGGATGATTAGGAATAAACCAATCTGCTGGTTGCTCCACACTATTTCTTCCACGTGTCCTAAACTTCTACCGGATTTGCAGTAGTTTATTCGATGATGAAAAGGTCGGCCACCAAAACAGTATATTAGAACATGATAAGAACCACAAATCAGTCGCAGTGGGCGGGTGGGGGCGGCGGCCACAACAAATCAAAGTCTAACATTAATTTAGATCAGTCTTTTCGACGACGGCGGCCGGCGATGGTGTCAGGTCTATGTGCTGGACCACCAACGGACATTTCATTAAATTTTCGTTAATTATCAAGTGTCATTATCAGCTAATATCGTCACTGCATCATGCGAAAATGCTTACCTGGCAAGTTATGATTCCACGTAATGGAGCTGTTAAGATCACGTAAGCACCATCTGGTGATGACGTTGGACTCACAACTCACAGCATCGCCAACCACTGCCTAATGTCAATCTTTCCACCGCTAATCACACACTTAATCATACTTTAATATAAATGTAACAATCTCAGTTGGAGTATTTACCCATGCTTGCCATTGTTGCCACATTGTCAGCCTTTTATGGATACCTCCTGAATAAAAGTCAAGTAATTCCCTCTTATCATATTATTTAAAACCTAAATTTAAGAATTTTATTAACATGGTTAAAGAATTAAGTTAAGAGTTAATAAAGTAAAGAACAGAACTTTTTATCAATTAGTTGTCAGTCCTACGTAATACTTTTCTTAAATTTCACGTTTCTTTCTTTGAAATTGAAACATGAGGGCTTCCGGCAGTCTAGTTAATTGCCCTGGACCAACCCATCTCGTAAATCATAATCCAAGACTCCAAGTATATATTAAGTCTAATTGGAAACCGGTTGCTTGCGCTCATTGTTCTCATAAAACCATGAGACCACTATTGTTTTGATCAAGCCACGAAACATGAATATATATAATCTTAAAATGCCGAATCTTCTAGCATAGATCATTAGAAAGAGACCAATTTCGGCTAAAGAAAAGAAAACGGCAGCTTTCATCTCCAAATCCTTGAATTAATTGTAGTACAGTAGCTGTACCCTTTTTTTTTTTTTTTTT